AATCAAACACCACTTTAAACCAAATGCTCTAATACCAATTGTTAGGGGTTCTGACCGATGATGCATATTCTGATAGCTACCTATTGAAGGCTAAACATACTGACATAATATTTAACGTGGTTCGGCATATTGCCTACATCTACGGGAGATGTCCATATTATTAGAGATAGAGAAATGATACAATACAAATACATGGAGGAGGAGGATCACATCCGTTCTACTCAACTCCTAGCTCTTATTGTTGCACTTGCAGCTGCTGCAATGGCAGCAAAGCTGCTACCATTGTAGCCTTTCTCTCTTCTCACTTACACACACTCACCGCTCTCACTCTCAACTTTACTCTCTAAAATTATATCTTTTTTATAGGCATCAATGACAAGCTTCTCCAGCATGTTTGTCAACATGGAAAAGATAATAATGCCATAAAACATGGCATCAATTATGTCATAAAATATGCTTTCACTTTGTACCAAATAAGTGATGAGTTATTCCACTTGTACAAAGTAAAAGTGATGTATTTGCCACAATAATGGCAATATCCTGACACAGTGACCCAAGGAAACAAAACAATTGGTTGCATTTTTTAGTCTCCAGTCTATGCCTCTGTCGTTCATGGCAGTGCAGTGCTGTTCCGTTCACTATCGTAGCATCTTTAGCTTCTATGATTTTTTCAAGATTGTGTGAAGCCATCAATATATTTTCTATTGCACCTTATTTCTAGTGGAGGAGCTACTGTACACCCCGGCTCATATACCAAGAGATGGATTCAGGATGGACTATTGAGAGCATCAGATGCATCAAAATAGGAATGTTAAGCGAACATTAGGATGCATATTGGCTCATATCAAACTTACTTCCCTTATGAGGGGCTACAACATCATTAGCAACTTACTGAAAACTCACATATAGGAAACAAAAATTTTGAACATCTTAGGATTAAACAATAATGACCAGTGAAAACAATATTTTGTCTGACACCATCTATCCAATTCTTTTATCTGCAATTTTTCTAAGGTACTAACTTACAGGGAAGAAATTGGAGGAGAACAATCAACAGTATTCAACATAAACACTTGCTTATTCGGCAGCAGGCTTAAAAATGATGCGCTGAGGAAAGAGCTTGGAAGTAAATCATGGTAAAATTAGGAGAAAAGAGAGTAGTGGTTGAGGTCCATTTCTTTTCTTCTTGTGGTCATAAATTTCAAGTGGTCAAATTCTTGTAAAGTAAAAGTCTCTTAATTCATTAATTTATATGAGATTGTTGCTGATGTTAGAAGCTAGAACACAGTGAATATGTAGATACATGGACATATCAGCGTTGTTCATTGGGCTGCTTTCATATTCAAGAATATCCGACACAAGTAACTCGTCTATTCTATTAAGCATGAAGTTCGGAAAGGAGTTTGTCTCCTAAATGGGTACCAGAATGGCAAGAAGTTTTCATGCATTATGATCATTTGAAGATCCTTTTGAAAGAAATTCAACGTATAAAGCAAAGAAACAGCAACCTGGCGGGTTAAAGCAAGCTTTAACCCTATACAGAGCTTTCAGTGATCTAATTCGAAGGCAGAAGCATGCATAGATTCGAACACAAAAGACGTTGAAAACCAAGCCATTCCTGCGAGTCTTGTGAAGCAAAATTGCATGAAAGTTGTGAGACTATATTTCTTTAGGCTGCTGAGGAAGCAGGTGAATTTGAACTAGTGTTCTTCAAAAGGCTTGGTGATGAGTTACAAGGTTGCAGGTTTTACAGGTCAAAGTTACAAGAGATGATGAATGAAGCTGAAATGTTGAGTAAGCAAATGGATGCTTTGAATGCCTTTCGTATAAAGGAGGGGAATTTGCAGGGATTGTCTAATACACATTAAATAAAAGAATAATAATCATTTGTACAATATCCCCAGGTCACTCCCATCTAAATGTAGAGAAAAGTTAGTCCGGCTGATTAATTGAAAGTTATGGGCTACAATCTCCAGAAGAGTATTCTCAGGAACGAATGTGACTTGATCTCAACTTACAACACTTCAGCACACAATAGATGCCAAAGATATAAATTCTCAGACTACTAACCTGTTCGGCAGGTGCTCTAATAGTGTTTCTGCTAGGTCTTTTTGTTTAATCAGCAGTTGAATCCATTCATTCATTGTTTGAAAGGGAGATTTGGAAGTTTTTCTAACTTCACCAACATCGTCTTCTAAAATAGCGGAACCAAATTTCTTAAGGAAGTTCGAGGCTGTTGAACAGGAGACCTCTTTTAACAAAATTCCTCCTCCTGTAAATGGTTTAATACACAAGTATCATTTCCCTCTTCAAGCGCATACCTATCCTGATCCTGCTTTTCCAGAAACAGGCAGAGAACTTTTCAGTGATAGGAAAACAAATATGTAATCCATTCACCTGAGTGTAAGCCTTCCTCCCAAGATAAAACCATCCAAAATTCTTCAATATGTCTTTCCCCAACTTCGCATACTTCTTTTGAAGTTGTAGTACCCAGTTTAGAAGAAACAAGCAGATGTTTCTCAGCCTCAGAGTTCAAGACAGGACTCTGAGGTTAAAGCCTCTGCATTTCAAACATCAGAAAACTCTCTCTGCTGGCATAAGTTTGTCTCCTAAAGACACCAGCGGAAGCAAGTTGACTTTTAATGGCTCGCTGAACTTTGTTCCAAATGCATAACAAGCTGCACTGCCACCAATGATAACATGATCATCACCAACAACATTGGAAGTCTTATGAAGCAATGCAACTCTTGGAAATGATGTCCAACAGGGCAACCACCAATGACTCCAAGAAAGTTCATGTAGACAAACATTGAGTGGGAGAATCTAGCATGTGATCTTCTACCAGCTGTCTTTTTGAACTTCCACATGCATGTTCGGGCATCAAAACTGTATAAATCTCCGATAGCTCTCTCGCCATTGTAACATCCAAACAAGAATAATTTGGACTCATATGCCACAATTGAGCAAGAATGATGAGCACATGGCCATATCTCATTAACGAAGACCTCATTACATTGCGAATTTCCAGTGTTAAGAACATGTAACAATGATAAGATTGTATCATTGCTAAGTCCAACCAAATACAAACATGTTTGAGCCAGCTGCTGCTGCCACGTGTGACACATACATAGAGCATAAAAATGTACAACATCAACAGTTGTTCTGCAAGTTGATACAGTGGTCTGCTTCTTCGACAAATATTTTCATAAAACTTGGAGGGAAAACTTTGATGAATTTGTAAATGTGCTCAAACTTCTCCAAGGAGGGAAAACATTGCTAGCGCACTGTACGAGCTTCCATTTCATTTTAGCTGTATTGATAACCCATACATCATTTAGAACGTTTGAAGGATCAGATCCAACTCCAATAACAAAAACAAAATCACCAACCACGGAAGCTGTTTGATGCAATTGTTGAGATGGAGCACCGTCAATTTCAATTGCTTTAAATTGCCACTCAACGGATCAAGCAGCAAATAATCATTTCTTCGAGAGCGCCTTCCCATCCCTCCAAAACCATCAAATACTACATTGCTGTAGCTTCCATTATCCATTAGACAAGCAGAGTGACCCCAAAGGAAAAGCTTCTCTACAGGTTAACCAACAACTAGAATCGGAGAAACAGATAAACTGCACTTGGCAACTTCTTCTCCTACCCTCCCAGCCAATGCCAATGATTCATAGATTCAAACTTTGCTGTCTTGTTAAAATGAAGCATTTCCTGCAATAACACATATGATACATAAAAAATTCACATATCAGAAATTAATATATCAATATGGCGGCAACAATATAACATTCATCCCATCTATACAAACAAAACTAGCTAGCCTCAGCGTTGAAAGAAAAAGCTAAAATCAATACAGAAGATGCGCTACTAAACTTTGCATATGTTTCTATTTAAGACACAAATATTCTGAGTGGATCCTGTAATCTTACAATACCTCAAGACAACCAAAGTAAAATACAGAATCAGGAGCTCCACAGAGCATATTAATAAAATAAAATTACCATTTTGGACATCCCCATCCCCATCCCCAATTTCTGTTCCCACCACTCCAGCTCCAGCTGATCACCATCCCCCTTGTTGCTGCTAACCATTTTCCGAGACTGTGGACTTCCCATTTTCTCTTAAACCACATAGAAACCCTTGAGTTCTCCTCTAATTGGCTTCCATTTTATGATTAGACAAGTCAACAAGAAGCCTCACATCCTCTTTTGACACCAGAATCCTATCACTATCACCCAATGAAACCTCCATTCTTATAGAACACCCGATTCCCACAATAACCCTCTTGCTGTTAGCATTTATAATTCCTGGTTCCTTAAACGCACACTTTATAGCTAAAGGCACCAAACATTGTACAGCTTCAATGTCTCTACACTCCACAGCAATAATCAATCGCTCAAACTGGTGGTTTTGGTTTTGGCTGCGAGGGGATAGAGATACCGCGAAACTGTTGGTGAAGTAATTTTTTTGCGTTTTAAAAAAGTTTAAATTTTTTTTCTTCGAATTGATTTTTTTATAATTTTTAATATTATTTTAATATAAAAATAATTTTAAAAAAATAAAAAAATATTATTTTAATATATTTTCAATTTTAAAAACAAATACCCCTACACTCCACAGCAATAATCAATGGCTCAAACCGGTGGTTTTGGCTGCGAGATAGAGATACCGCAAAACTGGTGGTGTAGTAATTTTTTTACCTCTTAAAAAAGTTTAAATTCTTTTTTAAAATTGATTTTTTTAAAATATTTTAATATTATTTTAATATCTTAATATAAAAAATATTTTTTTATAAATAAAAAATATATTATTTTAATATATTTTAAAATTAAAAATATTTTTAAAAATAATTACTACCCTACACCCAATCGTATAATGATGAATTATGTGGATGTCATTTAAATAAACAAGTCGCTGAAACAAAGAAGGCCCGCGGAAATGTATTATAGGGCTGACTTAAAAACTTAGAGCTGAGTATTGATTAACTGGTACAGAACATCAGCCACAAGTTAGACAAAAGAGACAGGGGGACATGTGGGTACTCTTTCTTCTCTCTTTCATTTCCTGCTCCATTTGTTCTATCAGGTACGCTTGTCAAGAAAAATAAATGATAGTCTATTAAGAATGGAAATTTAAAAAAAATATATACAATAATCTTTCCTAAATTTACTTTTGATTTCTAGTTTTTTTATCTGTATATTTTTTATTATTAAATTAGCTCCTATCAACACCTCTTTTTTTCTCTAAATTGGTATAAAGATATCTCAAATGTCTAATTTATTGAGAGAGTAATGAAATATTTTATTTAAGTGCTTTAATAAGTATACATGTTAGCTGATTTTCAGATTTAACAAAAGGGAAAAATCACAATTTTCTTGTCGAGTTTTTACTTAATGAAATGAAATGTGTGTCTACTTCCATGTATTTAGTATAATCATGTTGAATTGTGTTGTTAGCTATAACAATTATAGTTTTGTTGTCACAATACATTTTAATTTCGGTATCTATAGGATATCTTAGCTCCGCAAGTAACCCCTTTATCCATTGTACTTCACATAATTCTTAAGTCATTCAACACTAAATAGAGCAATTACATTTTGCTTCTTACTTTTTCAGGTTACCAAGTTTCCCCTAACAAAAATAAAGTGTCATGAAGTAGATTTTTTATTAGTGACATTTCCAACCTAGCCTATATCTATATAACTAGCGATGTTAAAGTGATCATTCTTTAAGAAGAGAATTCCTCTTCATGAAGAAGACTTTAAGTATCTAAATATTTTCAATGTTGCCTCCATGTGTACTTCACTTGGGTTGTGCATGAATTGACTAACTAGACTGATTGCATATGCGATATTAGGACATATATATGATAGATAAATGAGTATTTCCACTAATTTTTTATATCATTTTTTATTTATAGGAACCTAATCAGTGTGTTCAGCTAAACAATGATTTTGTACGATTAATATATCCACGAGTTTGTCGTGTAACATATATGTCTCGGCTAATAGATCCAATACATACTTCTTTTGTGATAGGAATATGTCTTATCTTGATATATATACTTCAATACCCATAAAATACTTTAACCTACCAAGATCCTTTATTTCAAATTCACTTATTAGATACTTTTATAATTCTAAAATTCCTTCTTCACTTACATGTGGCTATCATGTCATCAACATAGATAATCAAAGCCATAGTTTTCCTTTCATTTTGTTTTAGAAATAGTGTATGGTTTAAGTTGTTTTGGCTAAATTCATGTGTTCCGCATTGCTAGACTAAAACTTCTAAACCATGCCCAGGGGGATTGTTTCAATCCATAAAGTGTTTTTTTAAGCTTGCACACCATATTTTCTGCTCTTCTTTCGGTAAAACTAGGGGGACATCCATATAGACTTTCTCCTATAAATCTCATTAAAGAAATGTATTCTTTACATCAAATTGATGTAAAGGTCAATCCAGATTTGTTGTTGGTGATAGGAGTATTCAGATTGTGTTTAATTTGCCTACTGGTGAGAAAATTTCCTGATAATCCACATATGTATGTGCGTATCCTTTAGCCACTAATCTCGCTTTGTATTGCTCTACTATCCTATTTACTTTATACTTCATAGTAAACACTCATTTACATTCAACTATCTTTTTTCCAGCTGACAGTGTAGTTAACTCTCAAGTATTGTTATCTTGGAGAGCCTTCGTTTCATCATAAATAGCCATCTTTTAATGTTCATCTACCATGGCTTCTTCAATGTTTTGTGGGACCTATTTTAAAGATAGTTTTTCCATAAAGACTTTAATTGCATTAGATATGTTATAGGCTAAGATAAAAACTGCAATAAAATATTTGAACTTCTTTTATTTTGTTTCTAATAAGTACCAACTTGGGGGTATCCCTTGATTATTCCTATGAGGTAAATTGTACTTTATAAGATTAGGTAAAATAGGAGAGTTACAAGATGTTACCTCATTTATAGTGTTAGGAATGTCCTCATGACTCTGATCCTGGTTATATTGTATGTTAGAGAAGGGGTGATTTAATGTGGTCAAAGTATGTAAGTTGGTGTGGTTGGTCTGCTTAGTAATATCTAGTTTTGTTTGAGTGTGATTTTCAGTATGATCAGTATGAACTCAATCTCATATTTGTTGTTCATTTCTATTCTCCCCCTAAAGAATAGAAGGTAATGGTTTATTGAAAAACTATTCAATCTCAAGAAAGGTTACATCCATAATAGCATAGAGTTTGCGTGAGATAAGATTATAACATCGATAAACTTTCGCCTCCATTATCAAACTAAAGAGTTTCAATGCTTATAGAAAATTAAGTTTGTACAAGGGTGAAAAACTTCTGAAAAACTGGTAGGGCATCCATCTTATGTTTCAACCTATAAAACCAAGTGACCCTCTAAAACCAACAATAGTAGTAACAGGTGCAGGACCCTATAAATTAGAGTGAATAGTCTTAAAAAGTGCATTGCTTTTATTATAATTGATGGGGTAAGTTGTTTGATGACTTTTACCTATTATACAGTCCTTGCATTTAAAACTAGAGGGCAGTACATTTGTAAATAAAGTAGGGGGTAAATATTATAAATAGCTGAATAATAAATGTCTTAATCGGTAATGTTATAACCAAATGTCTCGTCCTTTTTGCTGTGATAATTAAGCAAAATGAGCTTTACCAAAGTTCAAATCATCCTTGTAATATAACCCTTCTCTCTTAATACCATGACCAAAAATCCTATTCATGAGAATATCCTAAAACAAACAAAATAAAGAGTGCATTAGCACGCAACAATTTAAATCTTTTGTTACTTTACTCACTGGTAACAATTTAGTGGAGAGTGAAAGGACAAAAAAAGTATTGTGGAGAGTGAATATGGTTGATAATTCCATTGTTCCTCCCCTCATTACCAGATAGATATCACCATTAGCATTAGATATAGCTTGTCATTGAGGAACTGACTTAGTTTTAAAATCATTGGGATCATAGGTCATGTGGTTTATTACCCATGAGTCAATAATTCAATCATTCACATGGTCATCATTGGCTATTAAATTCATGGAACAAATAGTAACTAGGTCTCGAGTGGTAGGCGGAGGTTAATCATCAAGTGGCACAAGCGTGTTTGGGTCTATATTAATGACACATGTTGCTTAGCCATCCTGTTTTTCTTTTTTTTTTTCTTTTTTTTTTCTTTTTTTTTTTCTTTTTTTTTTCTTTTTTTTTTCTTTTTTTTTTCTTTTTTTTTTTTCTTTTTTTTTTTTTTTTTTCTTTTTTTTTTTCCTTTGAATTTATACCACCACTCTAGATACTCATATAGCTAGAAATAAATATCTTTAGTGTGCTTATTTCCTCCATAATAAGTGCACCTACCCTTTGAGCTTTTCATCTAACAAAAGATGACTTATTGGAATTTAGCCCATGTGGACCAAACCTGGGTCGGATGGCCTATTTATTAAACCATGATGGATCAAAAGCCTGTTTGAAAGAATTGCCATCAGGTCCAACCTATTTGTTTGGGCTTTTAAGAGTGAGATCCTTGAAGTTAGTCTAACCTTCATCAATCTTCACACCAGCAACCATGTTCCTCTCATTGGAATGTTGTAGCCCTAAGTTCTTCACACCTCCTCTTCTTATCTCACCTTAGTTCCTGGTCTCTCAGCCTTTTATAAGTAAACCAAAGCTATCTTTATTGTCTCTTGTAGTCTCCAACATCATGATTTGCTCGGTGTTCTCCCTTTTCACTTAAGCAAAAGCTTGCTCAATCGATGACAAAGGAATTTGTTGAATAATATCTTAGTGGGTTTAATCAAATTGATAATCTAAGCCATCTAAAAAGGTATAAATTCAATTTTTTTGAATTAATTTATTGTATTTTTGTATGTACTCGTCATATGTCATCGAATTTAGGTGTCTATGATCAACCTCTCACACGAGATTTTACAGGCCAATGTAGTAGTCTTTTAGAGATCCATTCCCTTGATTTGTCCAGGTGACTTTCCTTTTTCAGTCATATACCTAAATAATATCTCCTCTATCAAAGTAAGTTGTGGCAATGGCGTTCCACGCCCTTTTAGCCCTAGAAAATCTAATAAACTTTCCAATTAAAGATAGGGTTAGGGAATTTATAATCCAACCCTTAATAATTGCATTTTTTGTTATCCATTTATTGTATGTAGGGTCAATAGGAGTTGGTTGTTTGATTTCACTAGTAATTAATCTAAGTTTGTCTTTGCCAAAGATAAACATCTCTATTATTTGTGATCATAGTTTATAATTTTGGCCATTAAGTTTAACTCCATGGACGGCTACTGGCATGCCAGGGTTTTTGGTAGGGTTGATTTGAGTTTATATTCTTAAATATGTGGTTGTAATTTAGGTGTGATTTGGTAGATTTGATTCTGTTACATGTAGTTGTCTCTGGAAAAAAAAAGAAGTTAGGTTTGGATCAACTAAAAATGATTTCTGTATAATTTATATCTTATATTTTATTATATAGAACATATGTTTATAAATGTATAATGATAGTCCTATTAAGATGGACATTCTAAAGAGGGATTTTAGCAAATTTATTCATGATTTCTAGTTTTTCTAATTTGTAATTTTCTGATTGCTAATTTTATTCCTGTCAACAACTCTCTTTATCTCTCTTTCGTATCTTCTGTATATTGTATATATTGTATTATGGAATGTAACTCTGATGTAAATGATGTTTACTTTAGTTCCAACTATTTTTTGTTTTCTTTCTTGAGAATCACATGAATTAAACCACAGTTGGTGACTGTTTATTGATCATTTGATCTCATCATACCACTCCAAAAAAAAAAAATGTTTTGAATTGATTCAGATTGGATTGATCACAAGTTATAAACTAACTAATTTACTTTCGTGGGCCTAACATTACAAGATGTGCTTGTAGGGATTGATCACAAGTTATAAACTAACAAATTCACTTTCGTGGGCCTAACATTACAAGATGTGCTTTTATAAATAATTTAGGCAAGTATAGCCGAATAGGCATCCTTACGTAAAATGTGCTTGTAAATGCGTAGTATCAAGTACTGATAAAACATGCACAGATGTTTATCGGAAAGGGCGTGGAGGGGGTTGATTGCTGGGAAATAATTTCCTTTTTCTCATTTGTGTCAGATCTTTGAAATCTTTTTGCTCTGCTGGATTCGAAATGGCTTCTGGGAAATATCAAGAATCCTCATCCTCACGGTTTTCTCGTTGTAAATATCAAGTATTCTTGAGTTTTAGAGGTGAAGACACCCGCAAGAACTTTACTGATCACCTCTATACAGCTCTGGTTCAAGCAAGGATTCGCACATTTAGAGAAGATAATGAAATCCGGGGAGGAGAAAATATCGATTTGGAGCTCCAACAGGCAATACAACAATCAAAAATAGCGATAATCGTGTTCTCCAAAAACTATGCTTCATCAAGATGGTGCCTTGATGAACTTGTAATGATCATGGAGCGAGTGAGGACTGGTAGCTGCATAGTTTTTCCAGTATTCTATGATGTGGATCCATCCCAGGTCAGAAAGCAGACAGGGAGCTTTGCTGCAGCATTTGTGGAACATCAAAAGCATTTCAAGGAGGAGATGGACCGGGTGAATGGGTGGAGGATTGCTTTGAAGAATGTTGCAGATTTAGGAGGAATGGATTTAGGAGATGGGTAAGTTGTATCTCTTGATGAAACTACACATAGCATAACAATAGAATGCTGGTTGTGAACTCTTAATTTGTTCACTTTTTGGAGTTAAGCATTTAGAGGATGCCTGATAATACCACTCTCAATTTAAAGAAACTATACCACTCCCCCAACTCAAGAGAACATAGAAGAAAATAAAATAAAAATACTTTTTTCTCTCGTTTATTGCTCTTTTCCTTCTTAAACACTTGAAAAGGTAATGTTTTATATATACATTATTCCTTCTTCTTCTTCTTCTTTTCCATCCATGATTTGGTTTTAATAGATGGTGATAACGAAGCTATAAAATTAGCCATCAATCATTGACACGCAGCCTGGTTTAATTTCTTTTTTCCAAGATAATTATTTTATAGCCAAATGTTGTTTATTTTTATACTTTAAAGAGAGACTACTAATTGTCATATAATGTATTTTTCTTTCTGTTGTAGGTATGAGGCACAATTTGTCCAATCTATTGTGGAGAAGGTCTCAATGAAATTGGATCGAAAAATATTTCAGGTCCCCCTTCATTTCATTGGAAGAGATCTTCTAATAAATTGTATCAACTCATGGTTGCAAAATGGCTCTGATGGTGCTGCCATTGTTATACTCTATGGAATTGGTGGTGTTGGGAAGACAGCCATAGCAAAGAGTGTTTATAACCAAAACTTTTATAAATTTGCAGGCAAGAGCTTTCTATCAAATGTTAGAGAAAGGTCAAAAGAATCCAATGGTGTAGTTCGCCTACAGAGGCAACTTCTTTCTGATATCCTAAACAAGATTGTTGATGAGATACATGATGTTGATGAAGGGATTATAAAAATTGAAGATGCATTATGTTGCAGAAGAACTTTTATTACTCTCGATGATGTAGACAAAAGGGAGCAATTCAATGCAATAGTTGACATGCGAAACTGGCTTTGTCAAGGAAGTAAAATCATTGTAACAACTAGAAATAAGAGTTGGATTACAGCTGATGATGAGTTTGTCGAGTTCAAAGTTAAACCTCTAGATAACGAAAAATCACTTGAGCTTTTCAGTTGGCACACCTTTGGACAAGCTCACCCTGTTGAGGATTTTACAGATCTTTCTTGGAGAATAGTAAATCATTGCAATGGACTTCCATTAGCCCATCGTGTTATTGGTTCTTCATTATCTAGAAAAAGAAGACAAGTATGGGAAAGCATATTACAAGAAATGGAAGTGATTCCTAACTGTGAAGTTCAAAAGGTTCTTAGAATAAGTTATGACTCTCTCGATGATGATTATCAGAAGGACTTATTCCTTGATATTGCATGTTTCTTCAATGGCATGGATGAGGATTATGTATCTACGATACTAGACGGGCTTGGTGTAGGTGCAACGTATAGGGTTGACAATCTCATCGATAGATGTCTTTTGGAAAGAGACCAAAAGAAAAGGTTGTGTATGCATCAACTCATAAGAGACATGGGACGGCAAATTGCCCGCCAAGAATCACCTAAATGTCAAAGAATATGGCATCACACAGAAGCTTTTACAATATTGAAAGAAACAATTGTAAGTACCTTGTTTTGTAGGTATGCCTACATGATATTTAGGCATCTTAACATGTTGGTCATTCTTTTACTTTCATTTTTATTCTACTTTTAATATTTTTGAAGCAGGATGCTGAGAAATTGCGTGGCCTTACCCTAGATATGCATGCATTAATGAAAGATAATTGCACAGAAGTCGTTTGTACTGATTCAATGGTTCGCCACAAGTATAACTTGTTTCAACACTGTCCTCTTCCTCCATTCCTCCCTTCAGAATGGATTTCCGAATTTTTCTTTAGGGAACAAGTACAAGCTGGCCAAACAAGTTTATTTCCCATCCCCAGCACGGATGTTTTCAGAAAGATGCAAAATGTAAAATTCCTTCAACTAAATTACATGAAATTCTATGGAAGTTATGAACACTTCCCCAAGAACTTGATATGGTTATGTTGGCATGGATTCTCTTTGAGATCCATACCAAAGCACTTTTGCTTAGAGAAGCTTGTGGTTCTTGATCTATCTAAAAGCAGTCTAGTTGATGCTTGGAAAGGCAAACTGGTATGTATATCCTCTCTCTCTCCCTACATCTTTCTTTCCCATTTTCAATTGATAATAACTAAATTTAAGTGTTCTTGCAGTCTCTTCCAAAATTAAAAATTCTTGATCTCCGTTACTCGCGTGATCTCATCAGAACCCCAAATTTCTCAGGTCTCCCAGTCCTTGAAAAGCTAATACTTGAAGGGTGTGTCCATTTAGTTCAGATTCATGAATCTATTGGAGATTTACATTGTCTCGTGATCTTAAATCTGAAGAACTGTAAGAGTCTTTTAGAGCTACCGGAAGAAATAAGCAGTTTGAGTTCACTTCAATTGCTTCATTTAGATGGTTGCTCAAATCTTGATGGCTTGAATATGGGGTTAGATCATCATCAGGGACTTAGGTTGCTTCAAAGTGATGGAATTGTTGCAAGTACATCATACATTGAATCTCTTCTGTTGAAGCTGTTCGTTCCCTCTAGATTTTCAGCAAGGAAAAATTCGAGATTTACCTCCTTTCCATTGCCACCATCCTTGGTGTCTCTAAATTTAAGTGATACTCCACTTCGTTTTCTTCCAGAAAACATTAAGGATCTCAGTACACTCAGATTCCTGGTTTTAGAAAGATGCAATATGCTTCAGATACTCCCAGAGCTTCCATCCAACTTGGTTGTTTTAGATGTGTCCTATTGTTATTCACTGCAAGGACTTGTAAAACAATTCCTTTTTACCAGAGCACGTGATTGTGATCAATTAGTTCAATTCCAAGATTTGATTAAATTGGATTTAATCCAGAAGGCTGACACACACATGTTCAGAATAATGGAAATGGTCAGCATTGAAATGCAGCCAAGGCTTTTTAAGGTCCTCCCTCACCCGTTTTATTGTATTTCAACCCTACATTTTTCTACTTCTCCTTGTAGATATCTAGAAAGTTTTTGCGTTTGTTCTTTCTATAAATTTTGTTTTGATGGAACAGATACAGCTATATCTAGAAAGTTTTTGCGTTTGTTCTTGTTAGGATACTGGCATGCAAACCCGACAAGACAAAAGGTAAGGGACAAGATAAAATGAGAAATGACACACAAGAATTTACGTGGTTCACCCAATTTGGCTACGTCCACGGGCAAGTATAGAAGAATTTTACTAAGTAATGTGGGAATACAACTTCTCTCTAATAATAGGAGAACAACAAAAATCTCTCTATTATTAGGAGAAAACACCCCACTTACTATTTCACAAATACCTCACAATTTTGTGGGATTATTCTCTCCTCACCCTCTCTTCTTTCTATCTTGTGGTGTGTCTATTATGCTTGGATGCATTGCCTATTTATAGGCAAACATCCATGCAAAAGACAAGGGCAAGGTAGGTGGCACCAAATTTATGCCTAACATTGTTAACAAATTTATGCCTAACATTGTTGACAAATTTGTGCCTAACATTGTTGACAAACATTGTTGATTTTGTCAACAATGTTAGGGTGATTTCACAGTTCTTTCTGTAAATTTTGTTTTGATGGAACAGATACAGCTTCGGAACAACATATTCCACGTTCTCATTTACAATGAAGGAAATGAGATGTTGAGGTTTCATGAGGAAGGAGAGGAGGGGCTAATCCAGAATGAGTTTGGAGAGCACTTGTCATTCGAAGTATCCACTCCTGCTGCGCACCGGATATGTGGCTTTAATATATTCACATGGTTTTCTTCCACGTCAGAATTAAATATCGTAACTGATCCTTTTAGTCTTGTCATAAAAAACAATACCAAGGGCAGAAGCGTGGTTTTTGACTGCTATGGTTTTCTCCTAGATTTATGGGTTGAAAAAGGATGGCTATGGATAAGCCACTGTAAATGCGGGGTCGATGATCTTGGGTTTGATGATGGTGATGAATTCAGTGTTTCAGTGTTGATGGATGATCCACGTGTTCAAATAAAGAGGATTGGTGTACGAATATTGCATGAGGAGGGAGGATCCAAGAATGATTATAATAATATCCAATCAAACAATGAAGCTACCACATCCCATAGCAGCAGTTGCAGCTGCTCATCGGACAGTAAGGTTATCACAGCAAACAGTAGGAGCTCCTTTTGGGACAATCGAACTCTCGGTGATGGATATGCAGCAAAAGCAGGAATGGCTTCTCAACTTTTTAGACATTATTTTTGCTTTACACGTTGTAATTATGATTTATTAAACGTATATGCGTGTTTTTTTGAAAAGAAATAAATGGGAGAGGGAAGAGGGTAATGATAGGGTTGAATTGAACAATTAGAGATTTGGTATTATTATATATCTTCAAGCTTTTTTAAGCAATAAGAGTTTTTGAGATTTTAATTTCTCTTTTCTTTATCTCTAGTAGTGAGACTGTCTTTGCATCATTTTTTTGCATTTAAGCACGCCAATTTGGTTCTTCACTAAGCTTTTGACTCGGTGGTCAGCTCGATTCTTGACTTGGTCTACCGAATTGCTAAGAGGATTACCAGGTTGAGGAAGAGGAGGATAGGCTGCGAGTTGGGATTGTCCAGGTAGCGGGAGACGAAGAGCCCAGATTATTCAAAAATCATTTTTTATGGCCATTAGGTCAATATTGAAATCCCTTTACCCGTATTGTTTTTATTTATATTTAATTAAATCAAATAAAATATTATAAAATAAGTATTTCATGTTTATATTTAAATAAATAATTAAATTAAATTAAAAGAATAAAATATCTTTTAAAAAAACTAAGTTTAAAAAAGAACGACAAATAAAAAGCCCTGAAATAACCCGGGTTATTTTTTAAATCCTATAAGAAACAAATAAATAAATAATAAATCTCAATCTTCAATTAAATAAATATTGAATAATGAAATTGAAAAAAAATGAGTTTACAAAAAAAAAAAAACAAACGTAGACGAACCTTCTAAACCTGAGTTAATCTCCCAAAATCACAACCCGTGAAATTCTAGACCTAACTCAATTAAGAAATCCAATTTCCAACCAATTTAGTGCTGAGAAATGAAACTAGAAAAAAATATCAATTAAAAAAATTAGCCTAAGCAAAAAAAAAAAATAACAATCACAAGAATGAGAATCAAATTTGATAGGAAAAAAAAAACTAAAGGATAAAATCATAAAAATATTCAATCACAAAAATTATCTCAAACAAAACGAATAGTAATTATAAGAATAGAGACCACATATGACAAATAAAAAATAAATAAAAGAGGATGAAATTAAAAAAAACTAATTTTATAAATCATTTCAAATAAAATAAATAGTAATCAAAAGATCATGAACCAAATATAAAAGAAAAACAAAATGAAGGGTTGCTTTGAAACTTGGCAAGGTTAGTTGCAAAAATCAAGGACAATAGAGAGAGAATGCTTGTCGATTCTAAACTAAAGGTTAGTAATCCACAAACACGATAAAGGAGTCACCAAGACGATTCGAACACCACTTTGAACGCACCATTTGTCTACCCCCTCCACACAATGCTTAAAGGGCACGAGAGCAACCCATGAGCTGTCACTTGCATTGCATGTCATAATATCTTTTTTTTAAATAATATTATACTTCTAAAATTACTAAAGCACTTTTATATCAACCTGATTATATATATGTATATATAATGACAATACTAAAATGTCATTGACTACTAGTGAAAAAAATCTTACTTTTTAGAAGTAGCTTAGTCATTTTACTATGTATAAAAATTAAAAATACAAAAACACCCCTAGGCATAAATTAAAAATTTTTACTTTAAAGGTAATATAGTTATTTGACTATAAATCAAAAATGCAAAAAAATCGATTTATCCCCCTATTAATATGGTAATGATTAATGAACTCTTGTGAAAATACCATATTACACCTTTTAAAAAGATCACATTACTCCTGAATAGTTAGTTATTTTGTTTGGTTTCTTTTTACTTTAGATTGTTATAGTAGTTTTTCCATGCTTTTTATAGTTTTTTTTATAATTATAATTGTCCAATAAAATCTATTATTTCAAATATTCTCTTAACATGGATAATATTAAAAGCGTAACAAATTTTATAGTTGAAAACCTTAAAATTCAATAATATAATAACTTTAAAAAAATTCAACATACATAATTTTTATTCAATAAATTCTTATCATAAAAAATAAAAACCAATGCATGCATGTTCAAGCACTCATTTTAAATAATATAATGATAGCTTACGTGGATTATAAAAAGATATTATGTGATTATAAATAGAAATGATGGGAAATATTGAATTATTATTTTTAGGTTTTGAAGTTCTTAGAAATATTAAGGTTATGAAAATACTTGAATAATGACTTTCATTGTCATCTTTTTCCATTCTTCATAGCATATTAAAATTAAAAATCAAACAAACAAACGGATTAAGGTGATGAATTTGGTATGCATCTAAATGTAGTACATTGGACATTGTGTACAAAAATAGTATAATGACTATTTTGTACTTCCAAAAAAATTTCCAAAAAAATTTAGTTGCTTAGCTTTTGGGGTAGTATTGTCACTACTAGAAAATTGATAAATACAAATGGAAATACTAATGAAAATATTCTCTATGTATATACCGAGAGAATTATAGTAGGAAAAAATTAAAATAAAGTCAAAAAATATGATGATTTGTCATTTATATTGACGAAATTTATTTCATCAGTAAAATCATCGGTAAACTATTAACATTGTTCATCATGTCAATTAAAAAAAGAATCACCAATGAAAAGTTCTATCACTATTTTTTAGAAAACTCTAAAACTGTTCACTTTCGAATTGCATGGTTAATAATTATTTTTTATAGACAAAATCACTAATGGATTGAAAAGTCGTCAGTGTTAATTGACAGGTTTTGAAAAATTTTGATTAAATTGAATTTTTAAATTAAATTTTCCAGACGAAATCACCAACGGATTGAAAAGTTGTCGGTGATATTTGGTTGTTTTTGAAAAATATTACAGACAGAATCATTGATGAAATAATTAAAAATATTAATATTTAATTATTCTCAATAGAACGCCCCAATAAAAAACTTAGAATCTCTAATTTCACAAAAGATAAACCTCCTTTCTTCTTCATCATCTTCTTCCCTGTATGTAAAAACATGAACATCCCTTCTTCTCTCCTTAACTCCTTCTCTTCTCCTTCATGCTCAAATATACCTTCTTCTCATTTTTTTTTATCTTCTCAGTTTTTTTTTTAATTAATATACTTTACAATATTTTTTCTCTTCTCAGCTTCATTTGCAACTACATTAAAGTAAGATTTTTCTCTTTTTTCATGTTTTTTTCATTATATTTGTTTTTTATTTTATTTTCAAATTTTTTTTTTGTTCTTAATAATTATATGAATGTTGTTGTAGAATTTTTTTCATATAAGATGAATTTTTAGTTAATTTATTTTTAGCAATCGCAACTTGATTTTTTTCATATGAATTAGTTAAATTCATTTTTTTGTGTTATTTATTTGTTGCAAATTTGTTTGAGTTGATTTTCTTCTCTCTTTTTTTTCCAAGCAACTCCGTTTTGAGTATTATAGAATATTGATTTATATTAATTTAATTATTTTATAGCTTTGTAAAATGGATTTGTTTTTAAAATATTTTTAAATAATTACCAACGAAATTACATACGATATTTTTCTAAGAGCAATACTGATGGAATGAAGCGGGTAATTTTATTTTTTGTGCTTTTTCCATCATTAAATCCATTAGTAATAATATTTTTTTTATTACTAACAGACTTATTAACGAACAAAAAACTACCAGTGAAAGATTTACTAATAGAGTATTTTCATTTGTGATTCCATCAATAAATTAATTACCAAGAGAATAATAGTACAAATATTGACAGAAAATTCCATGATTGTTGCAGTATGTAATTGCACCAAGAACCAATCAGTCATTATAATATTTATTGAGGTCAAATAAATCTGTTTACTTTTTAATTACATAGTGTAATGGCTAAAATACCCTTGAAATCAAAATAAATCTACCTTTGATAGAGGGGCGATTCATCCTTCTATTTAAAATGCAGTGTTAATTCACTTGATTTTTTCTTTAATTAGAAATTTTTTAACTTAGGTCTAATGACTTATTTGTCTTTTTAATTTGGTCGTTTTGTAACTGTGGGATCAATATAGGGACAAATCTATATTTTAAAAAGAATAATTGATATTTTAAAAATAAATGCACAATGAATTTACTTGGTTAACCCTATAATCATAAATTTTTAAACTTAGGTCAAGGAGCTTTTTTTTTTTTCATTGTGGTATTTTCATAATTATGGGGTCAGATAGAGGCAATTTCATGTTTTAAAAGTAAAAATTAATTTTTTTGAAAGAAAAGTTGTTGACGAATGGAAACCGCTTCGCGCGCACCAACATTAGGAGGTGGAAATTATGCAATCACAGCAATGTTTGAAAGCTCACAGCATTCATGTCTAGATGAGGTGGCACTTGAAGCAATTTGGCTCCAATAACTTTTTCTTTCATTCTTCTCTTTTTCGCTTTCTTCGGCTCGAAAAATGCATTGCCCAATCAAAAAATTCATGTTGTCCTCTAATTTGCTCTCTTCGTCTCGAAAATGTACTGCCCAATCAAAAAATTCATGTTGTCCTCTAATTTTTTTAAAAAAATATCTACTTCAATCCTCTTTATATTTGTTATATGATTTTCATCTTGATTCCTTTTATAAACTTTAAATTTGTTTTTGAGCTCCCCCTATATTAAAATGTTATTTTTCCTTATATTTTATTTTGGTTTCAGATTTAATCTTTTTTTTTATTTTTTTTGTAAATTATTTTGATATTTTTAATTTCATCCTTAAATTAACAAATATTATTTTTCCACTTTTTTTTTTTGTTTAGTATTTGGTCCTTATTCTCTCTTCTTCTTTTTGTCTTTCTAGTTTTAGGCTTTTTGTCAAATTGATTTTTTTTTTTCATTGTCATCCTATAACATTGAAATGTTATTTTTTCTCTTATTTTGTTTTGATTTTAGATTTGATTTTCTCTTTTAATTTTGATTTTTTTTTTTGTAAAATGTTTGATTTTTTTTATTTCACCTTTAACTCAATGTTATTTCCCTTTTTATTTTTTGTTTAACATTTGGTCCTTGTTCTTTTATATCACTATTTTTTCGGTTTTTTGTCAAAAAATTTTAATTTAATTATTTAATATTAAGTTAGTTAGGAATTAAGAGTTGTGGTTTTCTCCAATTGGGTTACATCAAACTCATGAATGAGGTAATAAATTTGAAAAGTTAACCCGGGTAATATTGTTTTTTTATCTTTTTTAAAATTAATTTTTTTTTGATATTGTTTTTTTATTCTTTTTTAAAATTATTTTTTTTAAATTTTTTTCAACACTTTACATTCTATTTTTTTTTCCGGTTTCTTTAAAACTTATCACAACCTCATGCATGGGTTGCGTGTCGGCAAATGCACTCGGGTTTACTTGGATCATTTCTTCTCCTTTTACTTTTTATTTTCTTTGTGATGCTCTTGGTTAGAATGAAATATATCTTTGTTGATTTTTTTCTTTTCAATAATTTTTTTTATCATGATCACTCTTTTTTTTTCTTAGTTTGATACATCTTATGTCTTTATACAAGACAAACTTATTTGACCCAAATTGCAATTTTTTCTTGCTTTTTTAAAATACAATTACAGTCTTTTGACGTTCTTTTTTAAAGCTTTTTGTTTTTCAGCTCGCAACGTAGAGTGGCTCATGGGACTAGCAGTTGCTAATGTTAGAAGCGACACCACACAGCAACAATGAATGTTGTTAGGATTACCTGTTAGCACCATTGTTAGGATCACATATATTAGCAATGTCTTTAAAAAATTTATCTGTTATTTTTTTCAATTATTTTCATCATTAACAAATGACATCTATGAAAATGAATAAATTTCCTCCAACCTAAAAAGGAGAAAATTTTCGTCCGTTATTGAAAACCAAGCCGCCATTCTTGCGATTTATGTGAAGCAAAATGAGAATGACTAAGTGGAGTTATCCCACTACATTGCAATACAGTTTGAATTATGACGAGAAAGAAAACCTGTAAGCTATACAAGAAACTATTCAAAGTTCCACTTCTCACACAGTACAGAGAACTTGCTGCTTTTCTTAGCCTCCAGAAGAATTCTTCTGCCAGCTAGCTTAGACCGAGCTGATATGATAATCTGCTTCACAATTTCGTTCTACGAAAACATCAATGACTGCTGTTCTTTATCACTTGTTTGTTTCAGTGCATCTGTGCTCCTATATACTGTTCGGTTGGTTGCCATTTCATGTAAGGCACCAATCTAATGAAAAATGGTAGACTAGGAAATACAAAAGGGAGGACCTATTGATATATGCTTTGGTTTGAGCATCCTGCATTGTTTAATTGGAGGTGAAAGCCCTTAAAAGCTTGGAGTTCTACATATGCTACTATGGCTGGAGAGACTATAAACTGATACAAAATACCTGCAAAACCAATGATGTATAAAACACTTTCTACTTCATTGTTGGTTCCCTACTGGTCTCGTCTTCTTCAGGTATCCAACTTGTTTCTAAAATTCTAGATGCTTTAAAGGCTCTTAAGTTAGGCTTTGGCAATTGCAATTATCGTATTTCAGTGTCTTCGACGCCTTTATGAAGATGAAGACTAGGACAAAATGCAGGGATATAATGGGCTCATTTGTTGCCATATGCCCAGGATTGTTAGCAAAGTAGAGACAAACATGTCTATTTTCATTATATATAAGTAAAAATAATTAATTTTTAACTTAATAAATGATAAAGATTTAATTTAAGATATAAATTATGGTATAATTTATAATTTTTGCTCCCAGCTGAATATGTCTATATATATTCAATGAAGAGCTGCATATGGAGATTATAAAGAGAAGAAGATAAAGAGAGCTTGAGTGAAAGTGAGTTAAGTAGAGAAGAATTTTTTTTTCTTTTTATTTGTATTGTTTCTTTTATAAATTAATACAAATTAAAAACTCCGTGAAGTAGACAAGAAGTTGCTGAAGAATATAAATTTATATGTGTTTGATTTTTGGAATGACCTCACAAGTTCTGCGCTGGAAAATACTAGCCTCGATATTCTCAGTAATTGCATCTGTCTACGGTACATTTTTAGACCTAATCCTGGACTGGGGACTGCAATCTCTGTCTAGGAACTGGTTATTAAGATGCAAACTCCTTATCCCTCACACAAGTGTATAATTCAGAGAAATAGTGAGTAAGAACAATACATGATAAAATCAAACAGAGACTGTGGATCTTATTGTCTTAATGAAATGAAATATGAAGAACAACTGTATACAGATCATAGAAATGTAAACCAGGTTTACAAATTATATGCATCAGCTCCAGATTCAGTCCTGACCAATTCTTATGATGTTGGTGAAGAATGCAAGTCCCGAATTTATTGTTGACTTGCAGACTGTCTTGAATTTCTAACTGCCTTCCCTGCACGGGCAATCCTTTATTTCAATTGTAGCTAGCCTCGAGATTATTCGCCGCGGAATATGGAATTTTTTCAGGTACTGCTGGTTTTATATAAATGCGCATAGAATTCTCAAATTCCTAATGAATTGAGTTTTCTGGTTGATATAAAGAACAACATTGCCGATAGCTAATTTGGTTCACACTCTGTTTCATTAACTAGGTTGGAGTATGAACATTTGAATAACGTTGGCTAGTATCGCGCATTCAAGTCTGTACCTCTACCTTTTGTCTACAATGCGGGCAATGACAAACATGAGTTGATTATTGCATCCGAGCAAAACCAATAGACATGATCATGAAGTTAGTTAAACCAACAGCAAAGAAAGAAATGCAACATTGATATTCATCAGGAGGACATCAACTGTTTTCTCACTCTTTTTTTTTTGTTCATGCATTTAGAGAACATGTCCAAATTAAACTCAAAAGATTTTGTCTGGGATTTATTTTTTTTTCTAGTTGTTTTGGTCTTCCTTTTCCTTTCTGGCCAAGGTCAGTTTAGCTACTATTTAAAGCATTAACCTTTAGAATTTAAACAATCTGAGTTTTCTCTATATTTTAGGGCTATAATTTAAGTTTGAGAAACTCTTATTTCCTATCGTTCATTATATATATGCTGTGTCATTCAGGGATAGGGAGCGGCTAATTACCTTATATTTGTAAAATTCTTTGGTGTGGATGTCATTAGGTTGTTATTGAAGTTTTATGGAAGAATTTCCAATCCAGAACTCCAACTATTTCTTAAGGGCAAATGATAATTGGAAGTTGGAATAACACGATTTAAATAATGGCTAATTTGATTCTGTCCATAAAACTTGACAAGAAAAATTGGAGACATCAAACTCAGGAAGCAGTAATGACAACGATTCCTGAGGCTTGCAGCAGAAACATGCCAGACTCAACAATTTTGGCCCTGGAAATGCAATGCCCTGTTAACTACTTTTTTTTTATTCAAAGATTGAAACTAATCTCAAGGATTAAATTCTAAAAGTTTCTACCTTTGTTTCCTCAAATCAACCGGATTTCTGCTGCTATCCCCATGTATAAGGATTTAATTGGAAAACTCCCACATGGTCTTCGTTAAGCAATCGGATTCAGGATCAAACTAGGATTGACCCTTCATGCCTATAAAAAGAAACGTTTCCATCACAAGACCCCACATCCCAAAAGAAATTAAACCTACATTTTCAGTTTAGTCTTCTGTCTTGCCTTTTTTGTAGTTCTTTAGATTAAACCCTAGTTGATAAGACCAGTTATCAATGGAGAAACAGTTTCTGTCGCTGTTTGAGTCAGCAAAGAAATCTGCAGCCCTTGTGGCCACTTCTGCTTCAATATTTCCTGAAGTTTATCAATGCCTAGATGCTTTGGACCAGCTTAAGAGGTTCCCCGTAACATCATCCAGGGTTCTTGTCTCCACTCCTGTTGCAAAAGAAGTTCAATATCTCACAAAACACCGTGTAAAGATGATCAGAACTGCTGCTTCTTGCGTGCTGGATGCTTGGTGTAGGAATCTGTACGAAAGAAACCCTGCCATTGATGGTAAAACTCAGCCAACAAAATCTACAAGTGGGTCAAGAACGGGGACTCTTATTGTCAAGATACACGGAAGAGTAATAGGAAGGGTTAAAGTTAACATGCCTATTCAGACAGAGAAGAAGATGAAAGAAGAGAAAGAAAATGGTTTCAGTTGTTTCAAGAAACCACCAAAAGATCCTGCCATGCGCTGCCCAAAGCCAAGGAAAGTACAAAGTATCAGGCGCTGTTTCAAGAAACCATCTACCAAGCGCGTCACACAGCAAGAGAATGTGAAAGATTTCTGTAGTTTCAAGAAACCATCAGAAGAACCTGTCAAGTGCAGTGATGGCTTGCGTAGCAAGGTCAGGCACATTCTTGTGGAGTCATTGTGCAGAGTTGCAAAGGAGGTTAAAGAGGATTTGATGGAAGCAGTAAGATTGCGTGACCCAATTATTGTTGCTGCTGATGTTTGAAAGGATGGGGCTTTTCAGTGGCACCAAACAATTGAGGTACAGGTCAATATTGTTCAATATGAAGGATCCAAAGAATCCAGATTTGAGAAGGAAAGTTCTTCTTGGACAGATTAAGCCAGAGAAACTCGTGACTATGACAGCAGAAGAGATGGCAAGCAATCAAAGGCAATTCGAGAATGATCAAATCAGGAAGAAATCTTTGTGGAAGGAGATGAATGCAGAACAACAGCACAAATCAGTGGATCCAATGGAATATTGAGGCTTTAATTTGTTGCTTGTCATCAACATTGATACAAGATTTAATTCTTTTGTACAGACAATTCAATCCTAGTTCATGTTAGTTATGCTCTAGCTGCTGATGTAACTGAATCTCAGTGATTTTTTTTTGGGTAAATCATTTTTTCATTCATCAATATAGTTCAATTACATAACTTTGTCAGTTTAAACGAGCTTAATTTAACTTGTGGGGTATTGATTCTTTTCATTTCTCACATTGTTGACAAGCCAGGTTATTTTTGAACAAGTCTGTAACCGGGCGCTCTTTTGGCTAAGGGATCGTATTTTTATCCTCCAGATATAAAAGTTAGTCCAACTTGGTAACGCTGCCTAGACATTTCACCTTCTAGTCCCTTGATTGCCTTTCATGAAATGGCATATAAAAAAAACATATATCCCAGTCAAAAACCATTTGAAGGTATTATATGGATTGAGAATCGGATTATCGACCATATATAAGAACAGTACAGTTATGGCAAGGAAATGTTAAGGATGATAAGTAAGTTTTTGAGAGTACATGAGGTTAGAGTGGCTACTGATACTGTTATTCTCCTATGTACAAAACTGGGTGCTGAAGTAGGGTAAGTTTACAGTAAACCCAACTTCTTGCCATCCTCAAGTTGTAACCAGGTGAGGACCGATGCTAGGAAGCACGCACGAATAAGTTACATATTTTATGCTGTCTACGAGCACGACTACAAAAATCCGAGAAAGTGACTTTGGGGTGATTACGCCATCAACATCACTGTCGCCAGCCTCTCTAGGATCAAGAAGGACAGAGACAACCATTGGAGAAACCGATCTATTACCCTGAAAGCTCTCCTTATGAGTGTTCCTTCCCGCGTGTTCTCCAGTGATGTTGAGATCCGATCCCGCGAGAGGAATTGGAAGGCCACGGAGGATCCTTCTATTCCTCCCCTTGTTGAGGCGAGTAGAATTGTTCTTCTGGTGCTCTGCTGTCACATTAGCAACTGAGGAAGCAGGAACTATGGCTCCTGGTGTTGGTGAGACATCAAACTGGAACACTTCAGTGCACATACCCGAACTCAACAAAGGCCCTGGGAAGAAAATTAAGCAATCACGCGCTGTTAACAAGTAGCAGACAAACAAAAAATGGAGTAACGAACTCCAGTTTCTTTAGTCCTGCAAGGGTGCAAATAAATAATGTCCAGAGAATTGTCAAAAAGGAAATAAACAATCTTAAATCAATAAGCTGTGATTTAAAGGCAGAGCAAAGGTGCAGTAACTAAACACTCAAGTCCAACAATCCAAATTTCAGTCAATCAGTCAACGGAATTGCAAATACATTTCCTTTAGAGCTCCGAAGTTTCCAGGATTCCCATGCAGCCGTTCTCACATTCTTTGTGTTCTATTCAACTCATCATCTGCCATTACTACAGCCGAACCTCTAATAACGTCCTTTTTTCATTTTTTGACTTCTTTTTGATGAGTGAGAATCTATTGGTATCTTCGAACTTAAGAGGCTGTAAAAGCATAAATGATTTTGAATGTCCATAAACCACCAAAATTAGGTTTGATCCATTGTTTGGCGCATGGTAAACAATACTAAGTGAACAATGACAAGAAACATACATTAACCAGAAAGCCACTGACGAAAACAAAATTTTAAATTTCAATGGACAGTTTATATTAAAAATGTAAAAAATAGCAATTTTACTGGCAGCCTATATGCATGCATGAAGGGAATATAACGAGTGCCAGGCATAATAATTACCTGCAAGGCCTTCACGGAACCACTGCTGCAGTTTGCCTTTAGCGGCAGATGACTTCACATTGTCCTTTGAAGTGTCAGCAGATCCAGAAGCAAGGGCCTTCTGTCGCTCAGCATGAGTTCGGTACACATGAGAATGCCTCCCTCTATTGTTACCAACATCAGGAATAGCCAGTGCAGTCTGCTTCGTGATATTCACTTCAGGACTTTCATGAGAGGCCATAGCTCTCTCGCTTGCCAGAATAGAATGAATTATCAAGTTTCCATCTATCTTCACAAGCTTATCGTTTCTTGGCACATATAAAGATGCAACGAGCTGTTCACTAGCATTACCAAACTGACCAAATTCATCCGATCCAGGTAAATGCTCAGCAGCCCCTTTATTTGCAGAATCATGCTCTGGACACCCTGTACGACCTCTCACACAATGTATTTTATCATTAGACAACCCAACACCGACATTTTCATGCGACCCATTTGAGTGCCCATCAACAATCAAAACCCTTCCCTTATGCTGATCCAAAAACCTCTCACTACCAAAACCAAACCCACTAATTCCACTCTCCCTAACTCCTCCAAACTTAACATCTACCATAGGAACCAACCCACCAAACAACAAAATAAAAAATAGCAAACCAACCAAACTAACACCAGCAACCTTCTTAGTTTTACCCTCGCCTTTCTTACTCTCAACCTTCTTAGTCTTTGCCATAGGAACAGCTTGTTGCGGTTTCAACCTAGGAATCGGAACCAATGGCACTTGAGACCCTTGAGGCTTAACAACATAAGGCGCACACGGCACCCATGGATAAGGCGCCATGGGTGCGTACATTGGTGGCGGGCACGCACTGTTCCCATTCAATTGTTGACGCAAAGTAGCATTTTCAGCCATAAAATAGGAAACTTTACCATTCAAATCAGCTATAGTCGAATGCATTGCTCTCACCTTATCTTCTAATTCCTCAACATAATGCTTCTTCCTTTGCCTAGACAAATGCGCACTCTCCCGATTCCTCACCAACCTCGCCCTCCTCTTCTCCTCTTCTTCACTCGAAACCACACCCCCACTAACATTAACACTCACATCTTCACCCTCAGCTTTCCGGGACTTCAAGTTCCGCATAACGTCTCCATTTTCTCCATCGCCCATTTCTTTTTTCCTCTTAGTCAACGCAATCTTATCATTTTTCAAGTTTCTCGCACTTTCAGTTTCAGTTTTCACAACTTTCTGATCAACAACATAATTACAGGGATTGCCATTCGTACCTGATTCCGGCGAACCCGCATTCAACACACCCGACCCAGAATTCCCAGACCCGTGAGACGAATCAGGACCCAAATCAGAGCTTCGACTATCAGACCCACCCGAATCACAACTCCCAGCCTCCGAAGGCGAAGGATTAAGATACTTATCAACCTCCAACCCGCCCTGATCACCACATATCCCAGACTCCGGCGACTCCAAATTCACGGGATTAGAATCACAAACCCCTAAACAACCTTCAAGAGAGCCGGTTTCAAAACCCGGGTTATCTGATCGACCCTTGTCCGGGCTGACCGCATTGTTGTCAGGGATAAGGAACTGCTCGTTCTCGGAAGGGAAGTAAAGGTCAGTGAGATCATCAAAGGTGATGTCAAAATCAGACATATTCTCGAAATCAGAGGACAGATCTGGAACATTTAAGTTGTCGTTTTGGTCAGAATTTTGATTGAAAAAGAGAGGATCGAGAGGAGGAATTGGGAGTTGGGAATTGAATTCCTCCTCCATCTTCTACGTCGCAGGAATTTGATTCTGCTGTGGCGGATTTTACTGAATAACAATAAGAGAACAGGGGTTGGGTTTGGGGTTTTTATCGAAGAGGAAGAGGAGTATCTGTGGGATTTAATTCGGTAGGTTTTGAACGGGGCAAAGACTCGGATTTTGTTTCCACGTTTGGATAAGGAAAGTGGGGCACACGCTCCTTTTGTAGATTTTGGAAATCTAGGATTATTTTTTTATAGCTCATGTCTTCATTTGGTCCTTTTATTTTTATATTTAGTTAATGTTAGTTTTATTATTATGATGGTTTTATTTGTTATTTTTTATAAAAATAAAACAAAGCTAGTATTTGTTTTTTAATGGGATTTATAAAAAAAATTAATATTTTCCAAAATAAATTATTACTTTTTTCTCAACTTAAATAAAAATAAGTTTAATTGATTAAATTGTCGTAATGATAAAACTAAAATTTACTAGTTATACAAAATAAGGGACGAAATGCATTTTAAATAAAGAAGAAAAAACAAGAAATAGGTTGAAGCATGAGTGAGAAAGAGACAAAAAAAAGAAGAAGGAAAGAATAAAAGAATAAATAAATGAAACATTAAAAGATAATATTCACACAAATTTCAACGACATGAATTTACAAACATCAAGTTACTTTTGTTAGAATAACATGATAATTGTTTTAAAAATGCAGTCATTTAAATGTGGATGATTTATCCTTAATCCAAATAAATTTAGATTTCATGTATGATAGATATTATGATGTATAGTGTTATTTATAATTGTTTTTCAATTAAAAATATATTAAAATAATATTTTTTTTAATTTTTTATATTAAAACATTTAAAAAGTATAAATTTATTGCTTTTTAGATATCAAAATATTTAAAAAGTATAAATTTATTGCTTTTTAAAATAAAAAATAATTTATAAAACAAGTTATAGCGTAAAAATAATCACTTAATTAGTCTTTAATGATAAAAATTAATTAAAAAATATCATAATTAAAAAAAAGATTTAAAAATGATTTGACGGAGAAAAGTAAAAGGACATGATAAGAGTCAATTTACATTAGCATTAAATCCAAAAGATATACATCAAATCAATGTTATATATTCCTTTTTAAATCCCAATTGGAGCTCAAATGTCATATATACTATTCAAAAGAATTAAAGCTATATCAATTACAACACAAAATATCATTTCAAGAATATAAAAAACCATTATATGTTATTCTAGTTTGATTCGATAAATTGTTTTGAACATATCATGTATGTTTTAGAAAGGATGATTATGCTTTTGATGCATTGTGTCATTTGAAGGGAGAGCATAAATTGCATCAATAATTAATATTTTAAAAACTTGTTGAAAGTTACAAAAATATGCTAGAAAAGTGCTTGCCAATTCTATGTTTAAAGTGGCATGATCCTAACCTTGTATAATTGTATTCTAGTTGAAATAGGAAGACTTCCATAATTGTCATTAAA